AGAGAGAGAGAGAGAGAGAGAGAGAGAGAGAGAGAGATAGTGCAGGGCAGCACGGTGGTGGAGGTGGGGCGCATCTCCAATCAGCCAAACAAGCATTGTCGATGTGGAGCCGTAACTGCTGATGTTATACAGCAAGTTATAATTTACCCAATTTCCCCCTCGGGCAATCTTTAAAATTTCATCATCATCATTTAACATGTCTGCAGTGCATCATTCAACTGCGACCGCAGTGTCAAAAAAGAACAAGGTGGTGATGGAGATCCAAAAGTGGAACAAGAACGTTTATCCACGATGATGCGGTGACAGTCCTGTTTGTGACTGCGCAGAGCGCATATTCATATTCATGAAGTACCATATACTCACTCATTCGACGCGCACACACTGTCAAGATGTAGAAAATGTGAGCAGTATTCAATTACTTTGTTTTTGTTTAGTGGATGATTGTTCTCTGCATACCCAAAGGACTTTTCAAAATTCGCAAAATTCACTCGCTTACTCGTTTATTTAAGCAAGGACGTGTTTAAACTATGACATGAGGGAACGAGCAAATGCAAGTAATATAAATAACTGTGATAAATAACTGGCTGGAAACAGTTTGGGTTTTTAATGTGCCACAAAAGTGCCCCATACTTTGATGCTCTTGCTGTAATGTTGATTTGTGTCGTGATCTACAAAGTTCTTAGAAACAGCCAGGATACCATGTTACCTGTTACATGTTAGCCACACACTAAATATTACCTCCGTGTTTGTGAGGTAGCAACTAATGAGTTCAACCTTGAGTGCAGGTGGATGTTTGTGCCAAAATTGTCGAAATTCGCTCAAGGATGAGATATCACGAGAAAGGGACATGCGTGAGGTCACAGTGACCTTGACCTATGACCTCCACATTCTAATCAGTTCATCCTTGAGTCCAGGTTGAGGTTTGTGCCAAAGAAAAGAAAAAATTCCCTCAAGAACGGACGGATGGACGACACAAAAACATAACGCCTCCGGACACCGCTGAAGCGGTGGCATCGAAATACAATGTCAACATGTCAGTATCTAGTGATCCCGTGTACATTTTGTGCCAGCGGGTTGCAGCACGCCTGTGACACAGTTAGAAATGCATCGGATTCGGAGGGTCATCATCAATGGGTTTGTAGGGGGATGGGAATCATTGAATCTGTTCTTCTTATTGCTCTTAAAAGCAGCTCACTTCCTGTGACGGCTTATTGATAGTTTCCTCATATTAAGTCTTGAGACTGGCTTCTCCAAAGAGGAAACTGATTCAGTAGAGCTTTCACAGAGTTGTGTGAGCTGCACCTGTTCTGTTTTTTTTTTTCAGGCCAGAACAAATACTATTGTCACTGCCGTTGGGACAGTGACTGGCTCCTCACCTTATCTCCGGCCCTATGACAGAGTGTCTTCGGAGCGCGGCTCTGGCCCTGGTGTTGGTCAGATTGGAGGTAGGCTCTCCGTTCATGGCCAAGATGGCGTCCCCCACCCCCAGCCTGCCATCCTGGCTGACAGAGCCCCCCTGGACCACGCTGCGCACCAGCATGCCTGAGCCGTCCTTGATAGCGCTCACCGACATCCCTGCCAACACGCACACACACACACACACACACACACACACGCACACACAGACATGGGCACAGGTGAGTGGAGGTTCTGGCTAAGGCTATACTGAATGCATGCCAAACAGACAAGACAGTCACCCAAACAACACACGTGACAGCGGGAATAATCAGCATAATCAAGACAGACACTAAGGCAGATTAGCACGCAAACATGGCTACGCATGTTTGACATTTACACGCCATCATCTGTCACAGAGGCGCGCAATCGTGGACACCCACAGAGGGCGCAGGTGAATCCAGGGGAAGCAGATGCCAGCAGCACAAACACCTGACTTTGGTTTGATCCAATCAGACGCTAGGCGGATTACACAAACACTTCATTAATGCAAACAGGCAGAAGCAGACACACACACACACACACACACACACACACTGCAGACAGGAAGGGCTACAACCGACGAATTAGGTAATCTAGTCTGCAGCGCCTGCATTACTACTTTGCCATCTACTGGAGGACTACGTACATCCACAACACTATGGTCGTACATAATTTGAAGTTGGTCAAAGAAATGACTTTGTGCTTATTTTTTTTGATCAAATAAATCGTTTATTGATTGTTTTGGATTTTTTTTGGTATTACATTCAAATTACAATACAATCATAGTGCCTGGAATACACGGCTACGGATGCTGACAAGACGAACAGAAGTCACACATTTCATGAGAGGAAGACTGAGGTGAAATAATAATGAATGTCTCAAACTTCCCAGGGTGCTATAATTTACTTTAACACAGCATCAAAAATACATCTTTTTTTTTTCTATAACAAAATGCTGCGTGAACTTTTAACAATAACTCCCACATGAAAATCTATTTTATTTGACCTCAACGAAAACTATTTATGGTACCACAAACGTACAGTAAGTGCAATAGGTTCACACCATTCGAGAACAAACAAAGACTTCTAAACAGGCTGCATGTATTCATGTTTTGAGACGAGCAAGGCAAGAAAAAAAACAAAGACCTCATGATCCGTTAAAGCTTCTCCGTTAACAGCCTGTTCTGAAAGCCATACAGTCCTTGCAGTACAAACCAACCATACGCTCTACGTACTGTACATAATAGCATCTCCAAATATGGGCATTTAGTCATAGTTGCACATTGGATAGAATTGGACATGGCACCTAATAATAAGAAGAATATAAAGTAGTGCAAATAGTACTACAATAATATTGCTCGTGAAAAAATCCCCAGTTATTCGGGCCTTACAGATATTTGCTTGGAAGTTCAAATATATTTAAATGAACATAAAACACAGAACATCTGTAAACCCTCCACATTTGGATATCCAGAACACCATGCTGCATTAAATACCTCAGCAAGCTGACCTACAACTATTTAAAGAGATGAAAACCAAAGAACGCACTGACACACAGACTGCAGGTTATGACCTTGATTGTTTTTTCTACCTATGAACATTTACATAATCTTAACACACATACACACACACACACACACACACACACACAAAGTAGTGTGATGAGTTTGTTTCACTGTGCTTTACACAGTGCCCTTAGATTAAAGTGCAGGAGCGCCTTATACTCTTGTTTTCCATCCTGTCATGTTTGAATAACCAATAAACTCTCAGCACTGGAGTATAAACATAAATGTATCTAGAGATTAATATATACTTATTGGTTTTAATGGATTGCTGCTCATGCACCCCCATGCTAGCCTCTCAGACAAACACACACACACGCACACACACAGTAATCATCTCCTCCTCATAGGTATGAGGAGCACACCACTACTCTTCGGGGCGGTCGTCATCACCGCCGCCTATTAGCGCCATTATCGCCGTGCCGGCGACGTATACACACCAAGACACCATCACCATGAGAAAGACGTAGAACATACCAAGGCTACGGTTGCCCCGGACAACAGTGATTGTCCTCTCAAAACTGGTGCGGTGGGGCAGAGGCGGCGCCTGCTGCCTGTAGTCGTCCTCCATGAGGTGGAAACGCTGCCGCAGCCGGTTTTCCTGCAAGAGGTATAACAGAGCGCACAAATGAGTGGGAGGAACTATTGGAAGGATTGTCATGGAACTTTCTTCAGGTAGTCATGGTCCCCAGAGGATAGCTGACTGTGGTGATCCTCTGACTTTTCCTCTAGCTCAACAGCCTCAGCTGTTAGCATGCTAAAATGTGAAGGTAAGATGCAGGCGATAACCTCCGGTTCTGCCGAGTAAAGCCGATGTCGAAGTATCTTAAAACGTGCATCTTCTCTACTGACCAGCAGGGGGCGACTCCTCTGGTTGCAAAAATAAGTCTGATTGTATAGAAGTCTATGAGAAAATGTATCTACTTCACACTTGATTTATTCCCTCAGTAAACATTGTAAACATGAGTTTATGGTCTCAATCTCTAGTTTCAAGTCTTCAATATAGCATGATGTTCATTTAGTACATTATAGTCCATTTAGATTAAAATAGACCATAAAGCAGGGTATGCTTTAGGGCGGGCTTACTGTGATTGACAGGGCACTGCCGCTACCAGAGCCGTATCTGGCTATCTATGTCACTTCTCACATTCCAAATATGGTAACTTCCGGTCATTGGTTGCAAAAGAGCCAAGATGGTGATGGCCGTAATCCAAGACGCTGAACTCGAGGCTTCAAAAAGGCACTTCACAAACCAATGGGTGACGTCATGATGACTAAGTCCACTTCTTATATACAATATGATTACATACAGTATGATAAGATGACAAACATAGTTTATGTTATACCTGCTAAACCATTCCATTCAACTGTTTAGCGATTTTTAAGCAAACCTTTGGACACCTCACAAAGCTGCTAGCACGGCTTTAGACTCTTGTTTTATCAGGATGTTTGACTCCTGAACCAAAAATATCAACCTCAGAGAGGCGTTGAGATACATTTCATTTGTTAAAATATTTCAGTCTGGATCAAAATCGTGGACCGACCAACCGACCGTCCCGAGAGCCCTGCTGCCATTGCAGATTTGCTACAACATAAGCTCTTGCGCGCATTGTTGTACACGGAGCAGATCTAACTTCTTGAAAAATACACCATTATGCACCAATGTCCTAACCTACTATCATCACGACCAATCAGATTTCTGATGTGATAAAAAAAAAAGATTTCAAACAACTATCAACTCTCCGGGGAGAAAGCCTTCGGAGTAATTCTGAGATGTAAAACATGCAGAGAGGAAGATTCTTTGGTCCCCCCGGGGCACTTCACAAAGAAAAAAAGGGGCAACCAGGAGATCGACTTTGAACCTTCACAGAAAGTGCAAGCAGCCCTGAAGTTCTGAAGCTACCTTTGCAACAAGCCGGTCTTTGATGAGAACACACTGATTCTTGCTGCTCTAGGTCTCTGTGTGTGTGTGTGTGTGTGTGTGTGATACATTAAGGTGCCCTTGTGCTGGACCAGGCGCCAATGTCGTGCAAGCAGTAAGCACTTTTCATTCAGAGGCAATTGTTGGTAATTAAGCAAAAGTGAGAACAAAAGGGCTGCCTCAATAGGATTGAGTTGAGACCACAATGGAGAAACAAAGTCGTTGACACAGAGCACTTTCTCTCTACCTGGCCAAGTGATATTGATACAGCCAGCTCTAAGCTCGCTGCTGTAGGACGTGAAGGGAGAGGACAAACGCCGTCATGGTAATCTCCTTCGGGGCAGCTCAAAATGGCGACCCACAGTTTGCATGGTAATGAGCAACGCTTCCTGTGTGATGGACCACAAGATTCAGACACATGCGGCGTTAGTGTAACAGCAAAGATGCTTCCTGCTGAGTCCAAAGCGTCAAGCAAATGCTGGTTTACGAGAATCAGTTTGGTGGCTGTGCATGATTTTTATGAACAAAATAACAGATTTGGAACTTTCAAATTTAGAAGACTGACAATTCTATTTATTTCAGATCTATGTTCGGCAGAGAGTATACACAGAACTGGTGCTTGAAAATAATAATTCTGCAGTATAGCACCTAACTATTTGTCAAGCCAACTGCAAGAGACAACCTGCCCTTTACTCTCATGTGGACCGAAGTTCTACTGGTTTTGTAAACCACAAAAAAGTCAGCAGAAAATATGTAAAAATAACTTTCCGGCAATATCAATAAACCGTAAATCCTTTTTTTTGCTGTTTGACATACCGTTGAAATGTAACACGGCTGAATGATGCTGTTGTCCTCGGAGTTGGTGATAGCCTCTGTCGCCTCGGCTAGCAGGCTGTTCTGAGAGTGGCTGTCGGTGTCATCATAGGAAACCCTCAGGCTCCTCTCTGAGATGGGCGTCAAGCCGCCGCACAGTTCCAGCTGAGAAAGCAAAATTTCCAAAAGTTGAAATGAAGACATATAAAAGAAAAAAAAGGTCTATTTGCTTCAAAAGTGAGGCTAAAGAAGGTGACTGTAAATTAGACACCTCCTTCTCCTCTCCCCCTCTCTCTCCATCTGTAGTCTGGTCGAGCATTGTGTTTGTCTCTCAGCTGCATTAAAAATTCAGACGGCCTGTAACTGGATTCTCGTGTTGCTTGTTACTAAGCCACAAGTCCACAACAGTAAGGGGAAGAAATGCTGTGCTCTCCAGAAAAAAAACCCCACACATTTAGGTAATTGTCTTGCATATCTATATTAGTTTATTAATATAAGAGTAAACTATCCTGAATAAAAAGTCCACTTTTGAATTTATGGGTACAGATGCTGCAGCCAATTATATGATGATATACAGTAGATTGTATGACAATATATAACGTGTCTACAGTCAGACACATAACATAATAGTAATGTATTACTGTATTAATGTATTAGAACATTCAATGAGCAGGAATTCCTTGAAACAGTAGTGAATTTATACATGTTTTTCTATTTTGCAATATTGTGGCGAAGCAACTTAATTTGTTTTATTCAATTTGCTGGATTACCCAAAAACAGATTCACTTTCTATTTGGATTTTTAAGAACATGTACTTTGCAACATGAAGTAGTGTATACGGTATAACCCCCCCCCCCATCTCTTTACATACCGGCAGTGGTTTGGCAACTCCAATGCGGACAGGGCCGTAGCCGGTGGACTTCAGGACGTACACGGCGTAATCCAGGCTGGAGCCCTCCAAGTCACTCTCGTTGACAAACATGAGTCGGTCACCAGGCAGCAGGCGACCGTCTTGATCTGCTACACCTCCGGGCACCAAGGACCGGATTACCAAAACTGTTTTGGTGACATCTTCTGGATCCTAGAGTTAGACACAAGGATGGCAGATACACAAGGACTTTGAGATTAATTAGATGCATCGTGTGATAGATGAATGCAAGTAAACAACAGAATAAAAAGGCACCGGTATAAAAGTCTATGGATTGTGTGGTTTCACAGAGCGGCAACCAGCTGTAGTAAAGCTCTTATTTTCTTACATGGCAGTAAAGCCTTAACGCTGAAATATGCTAAAATTACCCTAAAACAACGACTTTCCAGTCTCCACATGCTTCTCCACATGCTTCTCTATTGTCTTCGCCCTATCCAACCTGACACTGCTATTCTTAGACCGCAGCCTATTCCAGTCTGTTCTATCTGCAGAAGGGCTCGGGGGGCATGTCTCTGACCTGGTAGTCCAGGATGCTGAAGCCCAGTCCCGACTCGCCTTTCTCCAGCTCGACCAGCTGAGCATCTCTCTCCCACATGGCCAGAGGAGGAGACATGGGGGGCACGCCGCGCTTGGTGATGTCCTCAGCCGTGGGACAGGGAATGACACAACCCTGGTCCAACTGGGACAAGCAGAGGGGACAGAGGGAAGGAGATTGATTCACGATGTCGGGGGCATTTTCTGAGTGGCATGTCAAATGCAGAGGATGTGTAACAATTCCAATGTGGTCTTTACTGTTTTACACTAATGCCTGACCCCTCCATTCCCCCTTTCACCAATGTGTGCCTTCACCTTGTCGTTGAACTCGGCCAGCAGCTCTTTCAGGGTGAGATGGACGTCATCGTCCTCTTCCTCATCGCTGTCTGGAATCGCCGGGGGTACAATGTGCGAGCACACCAGGCAGACATGCTTCGGCAGCTCCTTCAGAATATTGACCACCTCTTTATGTGTCTCTCCAATGAGAGGGATCCCATTCACCTGCCAGGAGGATACTTAATATACATGTGTATATTTCTAATATTGTAGTAATAGTAATAGTGTTTTTCTAAAATAGATATTCCTATGGTCAGTTAGTCATGCTTCAAGCTTTTCAAAAATGACCTGAGAAAACACAACTGTGCTGATTATCAGAGGTTAACGTTGAATTTGATAGAGTATTTTAGAGTATTTCTTCCTGTGATTGTGATGATGAGTGAAATCTTCACTAAAATTCGATATTTTTCATGATATTTCAGTTTTGGGGTGTCGAGCAATTAGCGGCCACAGCACACCAAGTCACAGCAGGAACAATTAAAGCTTCAAGCGGAAACTAAACCGAGCGAGGCTCATTTAAAAACAGAGCTGAACAGCAGCGTCGCCATGCAGATGTCGTCTGGGGGAGATGAAAGTGGTTGAGCTGCGACACAGTTGTCTGTTTGCATGCTCAAAAGAGACATGTAGGACACCAGACAGTTTTGCAGTGTTTTCTAGACAGCAAGCAAAAAGCTACTGTGCGTGAGTTCATCTGAGTGCTCGTCATGATGAACGATACGCGTGGGTGCGTGAACTGGCCCAGCGGAGGGGGAGGAGGGCAAGCTCAAATGCGCAGAGGCACACGTACTCACACCCACCTTCTTACGTTGCATGCTGTACTTGAAATTGTGTGGTGATAACTGGTGTTGTTTCAGATATATGTATTTAAAATGCAATATGCCTATAGACTGTATGTAAGAAGTGGATGTAGTCACCATGACATCATCTATTGGTTTGTCGACTACAGCTTTGAAGCCTAGCAATCGGCATTTCGGACGGCGCCATCTTAGTTTTTTGCAACCAGAAGTGACACGACAGGGTACAAACCTGAGTACAAACAAATGCTGAAAAAAGACATTTTTCTGGACCAGAAAGTTTCAATTAACTTTCATGAACTGAAAACACACTGTGAAAGGGTTAAAATGTGAAGAGGTAAAAATCACAAACAACTCCTTGACCGGACAACGCCGAGGGTAGCGACCTGTCAATCACAAGGTAGCCCCGTCATAAAGCATACCCTGCTTTATGGTCTATTTTACTCTAAATGGGACCATAGTTTACAAAATAAACATCATGCTGTATTGAAGAAGACTTGAAGCTAGATTGAGACCATAAACTCAGGTTCACAATGTTTACTGAGGTCATAAATCAAGTGAGGTCCTTTTCTCATAGACTTCTGTACAATTAGAGTTTCTTTTTGCAACCATTTCAGCTCACTTCTGTAACCAGCGTAGCATTGAAGCTAACTAGCCTTGCTAATTCTAACATGCTATAATGCTACACTGGTTACAGAAAATGAGCCAAACAAAGTTGTCACTTATCTGGGATCACAGCATTGGGCTTTGCTACGCTGTGACAAGAGTGCGGATGAAGTATTAAATTGTTAAATTTTAACAGTCGTTACTGCAAAACCTCTTGTCAGCTAGGTTTATACGGAGGTCAGCCCGCTACAACGCGATGACAACGGTACATGTTAAAATGTCCACCGCTACGACCATCCTGCTACATTCGGATGGTGATGTCCGTGCTACTCCGTTTCTATTTCTATGATCTCGTATCTTGAGCTGAGTTGAGTTGCAGACGAGTCGGTTACCTCCAATATCTGGTCTCCAGTAAAGATCTTGCCGCTTTGGCCAATGGGGCCCTCGGGTAAAACGGAGCACAGGTAGTGATGTCCCGCCCGGGCCTCCAGACTGATGCAGAGACCGCTTGTCTCACTGAAACGCTCCAGCTGACACACCTAAAAGAGTGGTGTGAAGTTCAGCGGTGAAGAGGGAGGGTTTTTCTTCTTTGAATTGGAAATTACATGTAAAATAAAATAATAAAGCATTCACATACGTACAATACTAATAGTTTTTCTATGCATGTCATAGTAAATTATTATTTTTAACTACAGAGACGTACAATGACTTCATATCGCTGTCCGACTGCATGCTGCCACCTCTTCCTCAGGTCCTCCTCCTCAGTCGGCGTCAGTTTCACACCTGTAAAATGTGCACACATACAAAGACAATCACCCTCACCTCACTTATACACACACATTCCCATTCCTGTTGTTCCTGGCCCTGGATGATCCAATCAATAAAGAATAGGACCCTATATGAAAACATCACTTTGGCTGTTTTATAGCGAAAAAACAACATAATTCTTCTCGTGGCAAAGCAGCATGTCAACCACAACCACTCAGACAGCCGCCCCCCCCCCCCCCCTACACACACACACCACAGGCACACAGATTCACACACACCATCTTGTGATTTCTTGGCAAACTAACGTTTTCTCGTTCTTCTATTAAAACCTCGCAGCAATCAGGGCTTATTTGGCTGTGTTCTCTAATCAAGCCCAAAAGAAATGCCTGTCTAAATGAAGCCGCACATGCAAGCGGAGCACGGGACAAATCCTCCGGAATGAGCTGAATTAGTAGGATGAACACACGACCAAACAACGCTATAAACAGACACCCATCTAAGAGCATGCCTCGCTGCCACATCGCAGTTCCCCGAGTCTAACCAGCATATCAGACTCCGAGTTCCCTGATGCGGTTCCAGACCGCGGTGCAGCACGGGAAGCAGGAGCTTACCGTTTCTGGAACTGTGTCGGGGACGGCCGTTGGCGTATGCCGCTCGCCGGGAGATTTCACGCAGGGAGCAGATTCCTGGGAGACAGGGGTGGGGGGGGCGGACGCATTTTGAGCACACACATGCAGGGATCCAAACACACAAGAATGTGTACAAATTGCCAGCAAGCGTTGTTCTATTTTGAGCAGGTATCAGAAAGTTATTTCAATCATGATTTAACTGACTGGGCAGGTAACAGCTGTGGATCATTACTAAATTTGTTCCCCATATGCTACTTTAAAAACCCCTCTCTCAGCACAAAGCTACCTGTCTCTTGAATCCTGTTGAGGCCCAGTCTGTAGGGATTGCCCTCGTGGAAGCTGTGTGAGTGTCGGAGGGGCTGCAGCGGAGGGACCGGGGGCAGGATGTGACTCAGGCGGACAGCCTTCCTCAGCAACATCAGTCGGACCAGGGGGCCCGTCCTCCTCAGCACCTCCATGGCGCGCTGCTCGCTGCAGCCCTGCAGGCTCGCCCCGTCCACCTGAGGGAGAGGGGGACAATGTATCAGTGGGGAGTAGGGGAAGAGAGCCAGGATGAAAGCACAGGTATGATGGGGACAGAGGCAACATTTTTTTGTAGATGAGACACACGGAAAATAAAAAAGAAATCAATAGTAATTACAAAATAAAAGATGGAAAGCCTAGGAGAAAACAAGAGATGATGAAGAGATGGATGTGAGTAAAAGCAAAACCACACGAATTCCCCTTCATCGGCTTAAAAAGACCCTAATTGGTTTATATGAAACCACTCAAAGATGCAAACTGTGCAGATTTCCAGAACCGATAACATTCAGCAGAGAAATTATTTCAGAGAACAAGGTATTTGTTTTTAGAGGGCACAATAACAAATAAAATAAAGCTTTTCGCAGGAACTCACAGATAGGATGATGTCTCCGATGTAGATGCGTCCATCTTGATCCACCGTGCTGCCTTTCACTATGCTCTTCACTATCACACCGGCGCTGTAGACTGAGCAGTCCAAGATACATTAAGAGGAGAAGGTAGCATTGATTTTGTGCCTCGGATTTAGCAGGTATCATTCATCATTTTGTTCCCAGTTTGTTTCCGTCAACCTAGCTTGGAATATTGATGATAACTCGGTAAATATGGTTACCTGAGTTTAGGTCACCTATGTAGCTGGAAATGGTGAATCCCAGGCCCAGACTGTTCTTAGTGAACTGCACGCTGAACTCATAGTCGTCATTCAAGTCGTTGAGCTGCGAAGAAGCACCAGCAGTGAAACAAACCATGTTATTATTGGAAATATTGTATTATACATTTAATGCCTCTGATAATCCTTTTTTGCATTTGACTTTTTTTTATTTCACACCTTGCCGTCCAAACTGTCCTGGCTGAGGACAGGAGAGGAAAGGTGGTTGTCCTTGGTAACATCCCTGGCGATGAGCAGTTTCACCTTGGTACCAGCATTTCGCAGCACCTGCAGTCAGGTGGTCATATGTGAACGTGAGAAAGTGACAGTGTGTGACAATTGCATATCATAAATAAATTTAATTAAATTTAAAAAATCTGTAAAGGCAGGGTTGGCAATCTTTCTCAAAAACATATCAATATCAATCTTTCTTGATATATTTTGTTGAAATTCTCATTACATCCTGACAGCAAAAAAAAAGTTGCTGAACTGTAATAAGGCCATCCAACAATTTCATTCGGCCCAAATGTAATGATTGCACGGGCCATCTGAGTCTTCCACAAGCTGCTAACAAGAGAACTAGTCAAATTTGTTGTTTACGTTCTTATTGCTAATTTTTGAGGGAGTGGCTTTGGAGGAAGGCCTGTCAGTGTTGTCGACTTGGAGACTTTCTTGCTTGATTAAGCAACTATTGGCGCTAGCGCTGCTAGTTATTTTCATTGGAAAAGATTTGGCAACACTGGTCTGGGATTTTTCGGTTGGATAATTATTAAAATCTAGCGTACTCTTGCTAGTTTCTCATGATTACCAACCCTGCCTTGAAGAGACAGCTGCCCTTTAAGAGTAACCTAGGCCCGTTTGTGACTGTCCTCCTCCACTGTGTGTAGAATCAATCCCAGCTTTTCTATGGAACTTACTTTCTGGTGGTAAACAGCGGATACACAGAGCCTGGGTCAGACCTGGCTGTTATTTAAACACATGTTATCATTACAGACAAAGACTCACCTGTGCCACCTGCTCGCTGTTCATGCCCGCCAGATCCGTATCTCCGATGCGCAGGATTTGATCACTGCTACGCAGGCGCTTATCCTAGTGAGCCCCGTTACAACACAAACATTCAGTGTGAACTGTTAGAATCTTTAAATATGTTTTGCAGACTTTACCAAACACACTTCAGTTAAATACAACATCTGAGTATATTGATGGTTGGCTCTGAGATTGCATTCATCAATAAGGAAGGAATAGATTGAGATTTTGGAAAGACACATATTGTTGTTGAGAGTTAGGTGAGAACAATGATAGCACTCTCGGTAACAGTGGTGTCGATCTTCTCATCTAACTCTCTGCAAGAAAAAAAAAGGGAATTCCTTTAACTTGCTATATAAGGTTTGGCTACGGTTGATTGGCAGGTGGATTTACCCGTCCGGCAGCTCCACCAGGAAGTATGGTCTTGACCATGACACCTGTGCTCCGCCCTCCTATGATGCCAAAACCAAGCCCTTTCCCATCATTAATCAGCTCTATCATCTCCACATGACGCCTCTAACGTGGTAGCGGTTAACAGAAGAGGGAGGGAGAAATAAATTAGAGTGGTATTAAGAAAAGTGAAACAAGTGCTAAACAAGTGTGATTTTCATTGTTAATCTACATCCACTTTTTACCAGCTCTACAGTAACACCTCACATGTAAGCCGACTGTACCTCGTGAGCAATGGCAGACAGGTTTCTCCCCATCGACATGGTGCGGGAGATTCGAGGTGGGGTGCAGTACTAAAAATAAAAAAATGTCAAGCGTAAAACACAAGCAAACCTGAAATGACATATAGAGTTGCCTCTTACAATCAGCTGAAGCCTTCAGACAATGTAATATCCAACTGTGCTTGAGTTTTACAATGTGATGTGATATTATAAAATGTGACATTTGGAATGGTGATGAGTTACATTTTACAATTGAAAGAAAAAAATATATATGTATAATATATATACATATATATTGGTTTGGTTCAAGGACTTTAAAAATAAATTGCTTCCTTTTACTAAACTACCTCTCATTTACGATGATTTTTTTACGTACTTGCGATTCAGTGGGAACGCAGTTGTCTGGGTAGATATCTGAGAAAGACAGATCCAGCGAGTCCAAGGAGGAGATGCTGCCGTCCCTGTGGATGGATCTGCCGGGCCCTCGGTTCTCCATGGCCCATGTGTAGGAGTCACTGTGGCTCAGCGTCTTCAGGTCCAGCGCCACGCCCTGGCAGGGGCCACAGTTCATGGACACGGATTTGGAAATCTTCCCCTGGTAGGATTGAGAGAGCAATACGTGATGGATAAATGAGGGCATGAGGGAGAAAGAGGATAAAAGTGTAAAAATGGAGTGGATGCAAGTAAAAGGAGGTGGGTTGGGTGCGATAGAGAGAGCAGATGAACGAGAGAAGGATTGACGGATGTGAGGTAAGGGAGAAAGATAGATTGGGAAGAAAAGGAATGAGGGAGATAAAGAGATGAGGAAGGGGGATTAATAGAGAGGTTGAGGCATTAATTGGAAAAGAAGATATGGAGAGAGAGAGAGAGAGAGAGAGAGAGAGAGAGAGAGAGAGGAATAGGCCGAGACAGTGATGGAGGGAAATAGAAAGGATTAACAAATTGGGCAGAAAGGAGGGCATTGTGATACAATGAAGAAAGATGTGGGAGGGAGGGCGAACGTGTGCGAGCCAAAAGAAGAAATTGAAAGTACAGAAAGATAGGTTTAAAATGGAGCAGAGAGGGAAAAGTTAGAAGAGCAGGACAACAAGGATCTTAGATAAGGTCTTCTGTTCAATACCACAAAAGCACAAACGGTTGTCTTTTGTCTTTTCGGTGTTCTGCTTCAAAGTTTAAAAGGAATCTTTGCCAGATGCTTATATCTGATCTGCATGCTATTTCATAACAACTTTGACACCTGTTGGAATATAGTAGAATAAAAGATAGCACTATCACAATACTAATAAGACTAAGCTTTATATAAAACCTGGGATTTTTGAAAGATACAAGACCCTGAACAAAAATTGTGTCAGTGTCTGTCCTGATAAAAATCTAGAAACCACTGACATGATCCAGTGCCATGTTTCCTGGAATGCAGAGATGCTAAATGGTTATAGGCTCCCACAGAGCACACAATGCTAATGTAATAACCCTTGTGTGTGTGTGTGTGTGTGTGTGTGTGTGTGTGTGTGTGTGTGTGT